ATGAATTTACGAACTCACACACAGCGGTGGGTCTCTGGCCCATTGTCCAGACACACAGCTGCTAGTACGGTAACCGTGAATCCGGAATCCTGGATTACAGTTGAAGGTAACGTACAGTCCTCCATAACGGAAAAAACATACGGCCATTTTCCAAGTGCCCAAAGCCAATGCAGCCTTTGCCAGCAAGGCCTAAGTGAAAACCATCAGAAATCATCATATACATGCACACACACCAATTTGAACTTTAGACTATATCACAATGTTAATCAAGGGCAGACTGAAGGTCTGAAAAAGTGCTTCAATTATTTACTTAATGTGATAATATTAATTATACTACTTTAGGAGTTTCATCTGAATGAATATACAATGTCAATTACAACACATAGATGTCTAAATCATGATACTGTACCTGGAGTTTGCATCCAGAGCTGGGACAAAAATACACATAGCAGTGCAGATCTCCAACATAGCATGACTGAGAAAATTCCACCGTAAAAAAACAGGCTGTGGAAATCCTAAAAGTGTCAGACTGCAGATGAAGATCACTCTGAACACCAGAGAGAGGAGTCTTCAACAGATGAGACAAGAGAGAAGGGAAAGAGAGAGAAAATGGGAGGAGACACAAAACAGAATAACTAGAGTTTAAAACCTCCTGGACACTCCTCTTCAAAACAGGACGAAAACATACAAACTTTTTTTGGAATTTTTCTTGTTAAGAGGAGCAACACAAGTCAGGCCAGATTACTTCAGATAAAACCACTGCATAAAACCCTTTTACTTTTACCTGTGTGAATGCAGACCAGTGTTATTTTTTGTAGTATTATTATACTATTAATATTTTGATAATGATATAATGCTCACACTTATGTAGACCAAGTAATGGGATCAGAACCTATTGTCTGCCAAAATAAACACTGTGTACTAAGCACTAAATGTGTAAGGACATTATATGTGATTTAGTAGAGTATAGATAAGAGTTCTACCCCTTAACTTTACGAAACACATACCTGGTGAGGGCATAAATTGAAGTTTTAGGTTTGATAATAAAAGACGTTGCATTGTAAACCATGCACAAGATGAAAACAGAGCAATTAATATCAGAGAAACATCTACAACAGAAATGACTCATGACTCAAAGTGAAGTCACAATTATAGAGTTATGTACTGCTGAACACTTATACTGCACTTGTGAATTACAGTGCAACACAATAGCTGTGACTGTATTTTCTCATTCATTTATATAACAAAGTGCAGGAAGATTTAAAACTCTTACCTTTATGAAAAATGTGAATCCTGGAAAACGAAAATGAATAGCTTTTTACTGTGTCCATAAGTTGTTAAAAAATAAAGATGAAGTACCAAAAATGATTTGTAAATCTGCCTTGTCTGTAATCTGCTCATCCAGAATTAACCCTGCTGCTGCTCTTTGACATCTAGTTTATGCACCACCCTGAAGGCCTCCAGGAACTCATTAAAATCAATGCTGCCATCTTTGTTAAAGTCTATGCTTCGAGCCATGTCATCTATAGTCTGGTCATTCACAGCCACCCCCAAATGAGAACTGAAGAGCTTCCAAGTCTGACGAAACTCCTCGATGGAGATCTGACCTACGTGTGAAGGTGGAGAGGTGGGTTATGATCAGCATAAGATAACCAGCATTAATCTCAGTGAACAATCAGGAAAGCGGTGACACTAACCTGAGTGGTCCTTATCTATGATGTTAAATATTATCTCTAGGTCAGTTCTATACCTATAAAGAGTTTCAGCCAAGTTTGGTGTTACCTAAAAACAACAAAAAACATCTATATAAAAAAATAAGATTGAATTGTGAAGTACTATATTTTCAATATAAAAGCCAAAGTGAAAATCTCGGTGAAAGCTGGGCAGTATGACATCCACATATCAGGTAAAAAAAAAATTGGCAAACAAATTTTTCATATTGGCTGTTTTACAATGTTCATTACTTCTCATATATAAAGTAATTAATTCACTTGATTAAAGTAAAATATAATGTTAACATGATATAGAATTAGTCATACCGTGACATAAGATTTTGGTCATACTGCCCACCCTTACATAACATAAACATAGATTAAGATAGTGACCGGAGGGATGGGCTCTCCAAGGCTGATGTCCTCAAAGCAGGATTCATACTCTACGTTGCCATCTGCACCAAGACGGGCCAGGCGTGGGCGCAGGGTTCTCCATGGCAGATCCAATCGAAGAACAGACTCCACCACCTGTGCCCACTCGCTAGTGGAGATGCGACCTGCAAGTGAAGGAGAGAAAAACTATTTTAGTTGAACTTCCCAATTATAAATTACCTGCATAATACAATATAATATACGTTTAGGGTCAGTAGGATTTTTTTCTTGACAGAAATTAATACATTTATTCAGCAAGAATGCATTAAATTGCTAAATAGTGATATTAAAGAAATGTATAATGTTTCAAAAGATTTCTATTTCAAATAAATGCTGTTCTTT